TTTCATTGTTATGAATCTTAAATATTCTAAAACTGATTCTAATATAGATTTATCAGATTGTTTTGACACTGACAATAAGTAGGTTTGCTTATATCTCATTATATTGTTCATTATTAGTTACTATATTAGTATATTAATATATTCCAGTGTATCCAGATGTATTTATTTGGAATTTAATTTTATCTTGAATTTATTAATAGTGTTTTCATGCTCTTTTTTTTTTCCTAACAGGTCTTTGTGTAAAGCCTTCGAAACTATAATAATGGACACAATTTGTCCATATGCTTTAATTTGTACCAACTGGGGTATGATTCCTTTTGCTTTTGTCCTTTCTATACATGTGGAATATAAAAAAAATGCACCATGCTTGAAATGGACCTGAGAAATGAAATATGTTAACTTGGAGTTCTCCTTAATTAAATGCTATATTGTGATCTTTTGTGCTGTATATTGAATCTTAAAATGCAAGCTCCTTTGACTTCTTTAGTGAGTTGTTATATCGGCAATAATAACATTTATATAATTTTAATTGAGGGATTTCAAAACAAATATTATGTATTCCTTTCAGCTAGCAGCCAATTCTGTCAAAATTGCATAATATATTTTTAATAGTGCTGCCTAAATTAAATTTGGAATTAACTTATATCTTAATTAAAGAACTTTGAGTATTTGTGGAAACAGAAACTACCGGCCTTTATTTCTGTATTTATTTGTGTAAGTTATATGCAAGTGACTGTGTATTTATTGTTACTGAGTTTTTTGTTTGAAGTTATCAAGCACAAAAGAGATGCTTACTGTTTTGTGCTTTGGCCATTAAGTATTGTATACTTTGTAGACTCAATTGTAATCTAAAGTCCGTATTAAGTTGTATTCTAAATAGTAGAGCACCAGTTGGGAACTAATTTCTTACTCTTTGTTTCTATTACAGCATAGAATAATAATGAGAACAATATTGTATTATTTGTGATTACCAGTATTCTAACATGAAGGAATTTTATTACTCTTCATTATCATCTTGCATTATTTAGGTTTACCTCTGTTGAGCACATAGTCCTTGATTGTCACTAATGTGTCCTAGTTTAGTACTGATCACTGCAGTAACCACAAGATCAACTTATGCAGTGTATGATTGGTAAAAATGTGTAATACCAAATCCTTTAGGATGTATAATATTGTTTAAAGTAATTTCTGACTGTTTAACTGCAGTTTAAGAAGTGTTCAGTCTATGTTTAAAGGTACAGTGAAACTTGCAGTGAAAGTACCATAGGCTTTTCTTATTAATAAAGAGGAAAAAAGAGTGTATATACACATTAGTCACAGCATGTCAATGATAAGTACTGTTATGCACAGCTGATAATACAATTTTGTAACAATTTTCATGTCTGACACTTTGACTTTTTCCTCTTTCCTTCAAACTAATTAAAAAAGGGTCTTGTTCAGATTAGGTGTGCAGTCTATTTCCAATTCAGCTTTCTCCTTGATTGATCACTCCCACCACATGTTTACGCTGAGCCGTGCTGATTTGTTTTGACTTCATTAATGAAGTAAGACTGATGGTGGACTCACTAAGCTGAGTATTCAATAACTTGGTTATTTCTGAATGACCTGCTCAAGAGTCTGAATTAATCACACGTACAATTTTAAACTTAGAGTAAAGAAGGACACCTGAAATTTGTAATGGTCTCATCACAAATATAGATCTCAGAAAAGATTGTCGTGTATCATCAGGGTACACTGTAACACTTGAAAAAATTATTAAATGGGACTACTGAGCAGAAAATAGCTCTGGCTATGTTGTCTTATAAAACCTTTTGTTTGGATTTCTTTTTCATAGGGTATTGTCATGGTCACCAGTGTTTCCACACATTTCAGTGAATGTAGAAAAACTGACTCAAAATGTAAAAACGTTTGTTTGTACAGACATCAAGAGAAATCATAGTAACTTTGTGTATGAGTTATTTCTAAGAGTGCTGAACTTCTTCAGCTATCACAGAACTTCAATAATTCGTGACAAAAATAAAACCCTCTGTCTGGCTACTCTAACCAGGCTGACCTGTACCACACTACCTTCCAATAAAGAATGACCTGAACTGTAAAGGATGCAACATTTGATATGTTTTTAATTGCCCTGGATACTTTCTGCTTTTGATTGCACTGAATCTTCTTATTTTTGTCCATTGATTTTTGTTTCCAAAACTGCTATCCTGTAGAATAAAATTTTATAACTGTCAAAATCCATATGGAAAATATATGCTGCCATCTGTCTGTAATTAAGGGTTCATAATTCTCTCTTGGTTTCATAATTGGTGAATTGATCCGAATGAAGGCAAATTTACATTTCGACACTTCACAGAAAAGGATTTTTTTATGATTTATTAAATCTTCGAAGCATAGAGTTTGAGATTAGCCGTTACTGTAAGAATTGACAGGATGAACTTTTTTATGCTTTGGCTTGTGGATATTATGTTAATAAAAGGCTAAAATATTGATTATCTTCTCAGATTTGCAGTTTGTGCTTACATAAGGATATTCCCTTGTACAAAACCAAATTGGTCCATTAGCCTTCATCAATAGTTGTGTGCTATTATAGAAAATGTAGTGTCTGGATCTTTTCTGTCTAGAATATTTTATACAATCTTCATTCTGTGTGCAAAACCTGCTACTTGAAAATGGGGAAAAAATGTTAGGCCGAACAGTTCTAAAGACTTGGTATATAAATGTTCACCTATACCACTTTCTTTCTTTTAATCCCAAGAAAGCTTCCTGATCTGTTCTTGTATCCCATTGGAATTTCCTAGTTTGGAATGCTAAGATTTAAGAACCTGTCCATATATCTTTACTTGTATAAGAACAATGTATATATAGTATGTGCATTCAATTTTTAATTTTTTCATGAAATCGGTTTTTCCAACTTAAAATTATCTTTAAAAAAGTCTTATAAGTATGTAAATGAATGGTGGGTTGAATATAACTTTTTAAATTAATATGCCTTGTTTTCATTTTCTAGAGTTCAGTTGTGAATCAGTTATAAATATACAGCTCAAACTTTTTGAAGATGTAGACATAATCTTTGAGTGAAGTTAACTTTGCTGAGTGGTGTTTGTCTGGCCTGAATGCATTCTTTACAGACTGTGGACACCTGCGTTGCAATGTTTAAGGGTCAGACAGTTGCTTCTTTGGCTAAATTGTTTTGTACTTGAAGATCAAATTATTTTTAGTGATTAGGTGGGGGGGCAAAAGGCTTTAATAGGGTTATATGAAATATAAGGTTGATCTATATTTACTGTCTTTACATAATGGTGGACTGTATCCAACCTCTGTTAAGTTACAAACTTTGTATTTGTGGGTTCTTTTTTCCAAAGCTCAAAAACTAAAAATTGTTTTCCTTTAAGAAATGTGACCGACTGCATATACTGTACATGGAAAGCTCAGTGCATTTGTTTTTGCATTCAAAACATAGGAGATGACTTAGGTGATAGGTGGTGACTGATTTTTTAACTTCAATTAAACTATTATAATGCCAGCAGCAGTTAGATAATCACAATGTTTTGCTAACCAGATTTTGAAATTTATGGGTGGCATGGAAACTTGAAATGAACTTACTAGTTGGTTTTCTGAAATTATCATATAACTGCAGAAGTCTGTCGTGCTGTGCAAATCATTATGATTAATTCAGATAGTTTTTTTCTTCACAGACACACAAATGTAATGTTTTCTTTCTGCACGGTAACAGTCTTTTTTAGGGACTATCAAATTGGAGATGATTGCATGCGATATAATGGGCTAGGTAATGTTTCTGATCTAGGAAAAAAACTAAAAAGCTTCTTTCCTGGTATAAAGGTTGTACAGTTGGATAAGCTTTAAATGTTTAAAGTTTCTTAGCATTAATTCTGGGCTAATTTAATAATGAACACATTTACATATACAAAAGGTCTACCATAGCAATTTGGCTTATCTGTACAAGCTATATTTGTTTGCTGTTAATTTCCTTATGTTATTTTTTTCTGTTCTTTTTTTCCAACTGGGAGATGCTGAGGTTTTCTTTTGTGATTATCCTGTCTAACTGCACACTTGTTATTCTGGAAATATAGATTAGAACATACATTTTTAAAAGTGAGGTTCTAAACCCTTCAGGGTAATGGATCAAAAAAGTCTGCATTAGAGGTGCCCAGCCAGTGAAAGACATACAGTACTACACACTTCTGAAACACATGTATATGGATTCTAGACTGAAGGATCATGTGTTCATGTCCCATGTGGGACACATTTGTACAGAGTAAGGTATTTCAGATTGCACCAATAATACTCATACTGTGTAAATGGATCTCTGCGTTGTCATTGTAAATGAGCCATCTCCATTGACTTATCTGATTAAATTAAAGATTAGACAAGTGATTCTCTTCACTGATTACTTACAGTTCAATTTACTACAGTATCTACAGTAGACTGAGAGAAGGTATTCTTGATTGGGGGGGGAAACTCAATCTTTGTGTCTTGCTATCCACCACATTGTGAAGCAGTCCTACAAGAAGTGAAGAAAAATTGAGTACATTTATTCTTATACTGAAGTTGTAAACTTTCTAGGACCAAAAGTTGCTGAGTAATCGTGAAGGCATGGCAATACTGCAGGAAAGTGTCCATCATCAAGTTTTGTGATGAAGTTCAAGTGAAGTACAAATGCAGATGTACACAAGTTTCAGATATTTAAAATTATTAGTTGATATATAGCACTTTATATTAGTGAGGCCTTTGGATGGTATTGATAAATTGATGACAAAGATAATTAGCTAGAACTTTTTTCTGTAACAGTAATAATAAAGTAAATGATTTTCAGAACGTGAAGTTTCTTAAGTTATCAACCTGCTGAAACCTGTAACCATTAAATGTACTTTGTCTCCAAGCTCAGTATGCTGTGATATAGTATGTTCTGATGATTAAATATTGTTGCTATCAGATATGAATAGTAAGGATTCTGATGAACTTTTTCTTTCCATTTGTAGAACTTAAATATTAGAACATTGACAGATGATGTGGTAAGATTTATTTTTTCTTCACACTAATATTCTAACAGCATGTTTAAAGCTAAATGCTACACTCAGTCCTACAATTGTGAATGAGATGTTCCAAAGCCCAGTTCATAACTTGAGTTAAATCTTAAATGGACACTTTTTTCACCTATTAGAAATTATGCGATTAGCTCTTTAGCACCAAATGTTTTTTAAATAATTTACTGCATTTGTGTGATAACTTTTACACATTCCAGTAATTCTACTTCGTCCATAATTCTTCCATTAGTAGAAGGCAGAGAGTGTGTCTTGCCAATGTCAGACAGAATGTTACCTTTTTTGCCTTGTTGGATGTAAATGCTTTAAAGTATCTTTTTATTTTTTAAAGTTAATTTTTAATTTCATTTTAAGTGCTATTGAACTCTGTCACATAGCAGAAGTTGAATGCTAACAAATAAAATCATGCTGTAAATGAGTTGCCTTGTGGTCATACCTTGACCGATTGTAGTGAGATCTTTGCATCAGTGAAGCAAATGGATTATGTCATAGATAATTGTAAATGTATGATAGTTTTGAGGCCAATATGACACTCAGTGTCTAGTTTCTGATGCACCTGAAGTTATGGTGTATGTATCTTATATCTGTCTGGGCTGATAATACAATACAAAATAACCTGTTTTGGTATAAAACTAATGACTTTTAGAAATTATTATTTTTTCAGTTTTATGCAGTCTTAACATGCATGTGTGCTTGCTTTGCAATTTAATAATTGCATGAAACCTGTCATAGCATGGTCTGATGTTTTTTCTGTTCATTTGCATTGTTTTCTGTTTGAATGTTGAGTGCTCCTTTTTTGACAATGAAACTAAGACAAGGAAGATAAAAAGTATTACTTTGTGCAATATTGTACTTTGTACCCACTGTAGTGCATTCGATTTTTTTACATACAGACTAATAGTAACGTGCTAAGCTCCTATTCATCTACAGTATTATGAGTAAGTGCATGTACAGTGGTGTGAAAAAGTGATAAAAAGCTTCATTTAAAAACTGCATTTTGTGTTTACTTGTGTTATCTTTATCTAATATTTCAACTTGTTTGATGATCTGAAACATTTCAGTGTGATAAACATGCAAAAAAATAAGAAATCAGGACAAACACTTTTTCACACCACTGTATTATTGGAAGTCTCCTTATTTAAACCTCTGAAATACATGTATGTGGATTTTTGACTGGAGGATCTTGGGTTCAAATCCCATGTGGGACACTGATTTTGTACAATTGAGAGAAGTATTTCATTCAGATTGCACCAATAATACTCAGACTGTGTAAATAGGCCTCTAGGATATAATTGTAAATGAGAATGTATTCTCAATTGACCTATCTGATTAATTTAAATATTAAACAAGTGATACTCTTCACTGTTTACTTAGTTTGATTTATTGCAGTACCTAGACTGACTGAAATTATTCTTTATGGCGTAAATAAACTCACAATCTGGACCTACTGCTACCCACAACATTGTGAAGCAGTCCAGAAAAATCTCTTGCATTTGCTGCTAAATTTGGAAAGTTGTATACAGTTATCCTTACACTTAAGTTGCACACTTTCAAAGAAGACCAGAGTTACCTGAGTAACTGTGAAGGCAGGACACTACTACAGTAAAATGCCCATCCTATCGTTGTTCTTTTTGCTATAGAGGCACTGTTCATTATTTGGAACTCATTGAGGAAATAAGTTAATGGAATTGCGAGTTAAATCATTTCAACATTTTTTATTAATTACTAGGTGATTATCTACCATTGCAGCCATCTCCAATACACAATACACACCAATACATATCTCCAATACTCACTGGCATCTTCAGGATATGAAGTGTCAAAAAAAAGTTCAGTTTCTGCTTGACTGGTATTCATAGCAGGATTGTAAGGAAAAGCCTCTTTTGGTGGAAAACCACTAAAAGAGGGGACTCAAACTTCTCATTTGAATGACAATTGGAACAATGTCTTATGGTCAGATTAAATGAAAATTGAGCCTTTTGGTCATTTTTGGCGTAAAAAATGTGAGCATGAGAAAACGCTTATGCTGGCAGTGAAACATTTGGAGGCTCTTATTTTGTTTTGGAGTTAATTTGCATCTACGGGTCCTGGAGCCCTAGTCAAGATAAGGGAAATAATGAAGTTCAGCATGTATCAAGACATTTTGGCCAGACACGTGTCTCTTTCTGCCAAGAAGCTCGAGTATAGCTGAAATTGGACATTCCAGAATCACAGTCATTCAAATCAATAAAGGAATAGTTAATTGCACACAAAAAAAATGTTATTGACTGGCCACCTCAATCTGCAGACCTCAATTCATTTCATCCTGTGATTCTTACTCTCAAGATGGCAGATGGAGACCAAAGAATCTGGAGGATTTAGTGCAATTCTACATGAAGGAAAGTTTAAAAATATCCTCTCTGAAGTTCCAGAACCTCATGCGTCTAGTCAGTGCGGTTCCTGCTAAGGGAGGATTTACAAAATACTCGCTACAGGGGTGTGACTCTTGTGTTTTCTTAACTTAAATTATTTATAAGAAATATGATTTTTACTGGAGCAATGCTATTATAACATTATTATAATGTATACTATATAACATTTTTAGATTTTTAAGAAAGCAACCGTATCCAGTTGGATTGACTACTTGGAAGTATTTGCCCCCTTCCTGATTTCCTCTATTATTGCATATTTGTCTCACTGGATGTTTTCGGATCTTTAGACAAAATCTAATATTAGATAAAGGGAACCTGAGTGAACAAATAACACATTTTTTATGACTATTTCACTTACTTAATAAAGTTATCCAACACCCATATCCCCATATATAAACTGGTTGCACCACTTTTACCTGCAATGACTACAACCAAACACTTCCTATAATTCTTTCATATCGCTGTGGAGGAATTTTAGCCCGCTTTTCCTCGCAGAGCTGCTTTAATTAAGAAACATTAGTAGATTTTCAAGCATGAACTGCTCGTTTCAGGTCCTGCCACAGCATCTCTATTGAGTTTAGGTCTGGACTTGACTAGGCCACTACAAAACTTTAATTTTGATTATTTTCCGCCATTCTGATGTGGACTTGGTTTTGTGTTTTGGATCATTATCTTGCTGCATGACCCAACTGTGCTTCAGCTCAGTTCTCCTTAAGAATTTCTCCTTAAGAATTTTCTGATACAGAGCAGAATTCATGGTTCCCTCAATTATGGCAAGTCTTCCAGGTCCTGAGGCAGCAAAGCATCCCCACACCATCACACTACCACCATCATGTTTGACTTTTGGTGTGATGTTCTTACTGTGGAATGCTGTGTTTGCTTTACGCCAGACATAATGGGACTCATGTCATCCAAAATGTTCCACTTTTGACTCATCTGTCCATATAACATTCTCCTGAAAGGTTTGGTGATCATCCAGGTGCTTTTTGGCAAATGAGAGATGGGCATTTCTGTTTTTCTTGGTTAGCAGTGGTTTCTGCCTTGCTACTCTCCCATGAAGCCAATTTTTGCACTGTCTCTTTCTGATTGTGGAGTTATGAACAGTTCTTTGAATGTTTTTTTAGGATCCTTTGTAACTTTCTGGATGATTTTATGCTGTGATCTTAGAAAAACTTTGGCAGGTTGGCCACTCCTGGGAAGATTCACACTGTAAGTGTTCTCCATTTGGAGATTATGGCTCTCACTGTGGTTCTGTGGAGTCCCAGAGCCTTAGAAATGGCTTTGTAACCCTTTCCAGATAGATATAAACAACTTTTTGTCTGATCTCTTCAGGAATTTCCATTTATCGTAGCATAATGTGCTCGTTGAATCATTGTGCTGGCAACTTGACTCTGATGGTAAGGGTCAAAATAAGTGAGAGGGCTGGCTGTAATCAAGCCTGGCTGTGTTCAATCAGCTGACTCTAAGTTATTCCTTTAATTGGGTTGATTTGACTTTTACTTTTCCCACACAGTGCAGATAACTTTGTTCATTAAATAAATGAAAGAAGTAAAAAAAGTGGCATTTTTTCCACTCTGGTTCCCTTTATCTAATTTTAGATTTCGGTTGAAGACCTGAAAACATTCACAAATCACAACAGTCACAAATCTGCAATAATAGAGGAAATCAGGAAGGGGGCAAATACTTTTCATGATGCTGTATTTTCAGGTTGTATTCTTAAATGCACTTGTCAACACATTTATTGGAAATCAGAAGTAGGGGAAACTTTCTGACCTCATTGCTATATTGAAGGTCTTGAGACTTTAATCCAGGCCTTTTGTGGGAATTCTATGTTATACTGTTCAAGTATGCAGTATAACAATTTTGTTTTTTTAATGTTTTAGTTATTCTCCCTTGAAACTACAGGGAAAATCAAGTAATGTGAACAATATTTAATCAAGTCCATTCATCCATCCTTATGGATGTGCAAACTTGTGCACTGCCGTGTTTGTAATGGAATCCATGCATTATAATATCCAGTAGCAATAATAGCTTCCATCTGCATGCCAAAGTTTGAGAACTAATGAAAACTATTTAGAAATATTGACTTTTTATTTACCTGATTTTGAGGGTGTAATTTCATAAGAAGGAGAACAACAAATCCTCATCTGCTACCTTTTGTCTTTTTTTGCCTGTTAAAACAAATTTAATTAAATGTTAAACCAAATGCATGGGTTTTAAAGCCCATCTCCAATTAATCCTGAATTCAGTCTTATTATTTTCTACTTGCAATAATACAAGCTACAAGCTTTTAAAATAATTCCTAGACTATTTCATACATCTTGGTTTTTGAGGTGCAGTAATCTTGAGGAAATTGTGTATATATATATATGCTTGTATCATGAAATGTTTATTAAGGTAAACATCAGGGAGCTTTCTGGATCTAAAGATCACATAAAAGGTAAACATTTTTTATTTAAATTATAACTGGCATTCTTATTGATGGGAGATTTGGAGCCTAGTCTTCATAAGGCATCCGAGGTGAGGCTAAAAAACATACCATACATCAGTTTTGTGTTTATTAGTTTTTTTTTTTTTTACCAAATCTCCATCTGATTTTTGGCCATTTAAATGGTTGATCTTGTGTTTAATTTTTATGTATTAATTAATATAATAATTGATTATTAGAATAAAAATAACCAAAGTCATTTTAACAGAAATTATGTTTTATGGATTTTTTAACTTTATGGAAATTTAAACTTAATTTATTTGCAATGAAAACATTTAATGTGTGAAAATAGTGTTTTATAAGCAAAGCATCACTGTGATAGGGATCCACAGTTGCAGCAGATAGTTCAGTTCTAAACATATGAAGCAGGAAATGGACTGAATCATTTGTTAGGCCCTTATTATTGCTTTAAGCATGTCCCAAAGTGTAGTCAGTAAAATGCAGTGCAGTGAAATTATAATTTACAAAAATGATCATTCAGATCTATAGTCTATTAGTTGCCCTAAATCTAATAAGTTCACCAGAAAACATAATCCTTTGTTAGTACTCTGGGCTTTCATCTCTCTTTCAAACCAGATGATGGTGAATTGGGTGGCCTGTGCGAGCAGTGGTTAGCATTGTACCTGTTAGTGGCTAGGATAGGCTCGGGTTCCCCCACCCAAAGTGGGTGGATGATTCTGAATCATGATCATCATCATCATCATCTTTAGGGAATCTGCTAACTATGTAAGAGCATATGTGTATCAAGACATATCAGGAACCCTAAATATTAGGTTATACATATACATATGAAAATTAATGTATAGCATCACTTAGAAGCTGTGTCATATATGCAGTGTAATTAAAAGTATAACACCTGTGTGCCTTTTAATCACACACAATCATGTACACCTACCTTTGATTTTCTTGGTGTGAAGGTTTTAAATATGTTCTCATTTTATACAGATGGCTCCAAAGTTTTCTACAGGCAAAGATCTGTTACTTAAAATGTCATACCTCAAAGGTTATTTGGCTAGACTTTATTTTCACAGTTGTGAATTAGGGATAAAACTAATGTTTAAACAGCACTTGAAACATTGTTTTACTTAATTTTGTATCAAATAGATATTTATTTGTAGGTTTTTAGGACAATTATATGGGGGCGAGTTATTAATTTCAAAATGAATGCACTTTGTCTTCGACAACCAGACATTTTTTAAATATAACTTTATTTTAAATAATAATCAGCAAGTTGTCTTTTTCCTGTTCCTACAGAATTTTTCCTGTACTGTGGTGTTATCTTTGATTGTTTAATATTTGTACACATTATTCATTCTGTAGACCTGATATACAGTACTTGCTTGCAAGACTTGAAATTAAGTGCTAAGTCATAACACTATCTTGGAGATTTGTAGTATACTTGACACTATAGTATCAACAAGCAGTTCTCCATTTAAAAAAAATAGCTTTGAGGGCTACATGTCACATGCACAACTCAAGCAGTTTGAAAAGGAAATGAAGATGTGCAAGCCTTTATGATACTGTGGAATTTTGTGCTGTCGTAGTAAAGACTGGAAATAGCCTTGTTGTGATTTAAATAATTATAGTTAAATATTCTTCAGAAGTATTTTTACTAAGTAAAATTGTCCAGATTTTTCATTGTACAATTTATGTGTTTATTATAGATTCTGTGCTGGCTTAGGTATCACATTGGAGAAGGGGTTGGATCACAGTGATATATATTTCTGAAGCCTGGAATTGTCTTTGCAGATATCATATATGTACAATAATTCAGAAGATGTAAGAATGGACAAATGCAGTTTACTTTACAAAAATAAGTTACATTTCTCCATGTAATTTAATTCTTGCTTCTCTTTTAAAATAGCCTTCTCACATTTGCAAAATGCACCAGTTCAAAAACAGGCTAATTCCAAGGATAGTAATGTCATAGAGAAGTCTGAGACCTTTTATAAATGTTCATGCTTTGTGCAAGTGTTAAGAGAAAATTTATTTCCATGACCTTTTAGGTACACAATTTTCAGAAGCATATCAAACTCATATTACCAGTGTACCATTATCAATAAATAAATAAATGAAGCACTTACCCTTTTGGGTAAATTTCTAATTGATCATTTTTACTGTAAACAATAAAATGTACTGTTTTGTTGGCATATGTCCATTATTGTGGAAAAGTACCTAACCACTTTTTTCTAAAGACAAACCTTACAAATGAGAAACAGTAATAGATTATTTAGACGTATGTGTAATGTTCTCTTGTTAACATTCTAGTCTCCAAATGTAGATAAAATACTGAAGTTGCTACAGTTGTATTTCATTAATTCTACATTAGTGTCACCATAGATTATCTGAGAGATTACTCTTCCTGAGATAATGCTCAATAGGATGCTCATTTAACTTATCCTTGAAGATAAGTGTTAGTAATTTACAGACCCAATGCATGCTAACACTGGAAAATTAACCACCTACCTTATCACCTTCAAATGACATTTCAATAGAATACCCCCATAGCTAGAGAATCATAAGGGCAAATGTCTTTTGACAGGGCTAATCCAGTTAAAATTATTTCCCTTTTTAGTTGTATTCATAAAATTCAGTAAACATAAAATTGTGGCATGTTTTTCTTACATTTTAGATAAAAAAGACCAATCTTATACTTAGTTCAGGTGGGTAGCTGCATCAGCATGCGTAGGCTGCAAAGGAACAAGTAATAGGTTTATTCCATGCTGAAAAGAGAAGAAAGAAAACAATGTTTCGCCTGTGGAGTCTTCTTCAGGTGTGAGAAAGACAAGGCAGTAAGCAAAGGTAATGTAGCATAGGAGGACAAAAGCTGGGAGAGAGGAGCTTTTTGTTAATTAACATTAAATTCTGTGAATGACTAAAGTGTTTTGTATTTCTCCAGGCTTTCACATTGTCTTTTTAATGTATGATGCTTCCCACATGGAGGATGAAGCAAACATTTTGTGTTGCTGTCTGAACTTACTTTTCATATTACGTATTATATTGTAGCTCCCAAATAATTCTGAAATACTTTAGAAATGTTTTGGAAATGAAACTTGATATATACCCAATTCATAAGAAATCCAACTAGAATAAAGGTGGTCCTCTAATTTTGTATATAAGTTAGTGTGTGTTTTTTGCAAAGAATTTTCACAACCTTAGCATATTATGTTCTTAATTTCCTTTTTTAGCTGGACAGATTTGCCAGTATTCGCATGCCAGGCAGCAAAAAGGAACGACCAAATATTCCTCATGTGAAGCACTGCTCGTCCAGTGACTGGTCGGCTGTCTCTGAAGAGTTTGAGGACTTCTCTTCCAAACTGATGTCGGAGAAAGAAATCCTTGCACTCTTTGAAAAGATGATGGTAATTACCCCGTTTTTTTTCCTTAAAATGTTCAGGTAACCGAAACCCAGTCCTAAGACTGGGGTGGGGCTGGGGGAAGGGTTCATTAGGGGTTGGTCAAGCACAGAAGTCAGCTGTAATGAACAGTTGTAAAGTCAGTTAATATTGTAAACATTATGTTAGAATTGCTGTCCTAATAAGTTATTTTATTAATACAAATCATGTGGCCTTTTGTTTTCTGTAAACAACTTGAAGCTGGAGAAATAAATTAACAGGGTTTATTTTAAGACACCCATAAGACAAAACAAACTACATTAGACTTGCTTTTTGTGTGGTAGGTTCCTTACAGTGCGTATACCCAAAATTGCGTATAATCAGGACACCCTCCCTTAGACCCTTCTATTCCCCTCCCTTGAACAAATAAAATTAATCTGAAGTGTATTAGTATGTGTGTATAAACAGTAATCCAGCAAATACAGTAATATATGGTATGCAAAATAGATTAAATAAAGTTTAATAATAAAATGCAGGGAACACTCACCATAATCTCCTAGTGAATATAGTAATGATGAATTTGATTTTTCCCACATTATTTCATTTTTCATTTATTTTTTCATTGCCAACCGCATATACACTAATTTGTGTTAAAATATTTTGCATAAAAAGCAAGTCTACTGTACTGCTATTTGCAGTTATTTACAATAGAAGCGGTTTCTCAGAGTCCTGTTACTTAAACATCTTGCACTAGTTCCTAACTTTGATCCATATAATGTTATCAAAATCTCTACTAGGGTAAACATGACTGTTTTCATTAAATACATAATCCTCCAAAGGTAAGATTGCCCTCTGAACTGATGTTAAACATGTGATGCACTTTGGTTGAGCAAAATTTGCCCACTCCAGCCTCCTTTTCTCTCAGGTGTAGTCATACACTCTCCCACATCATTGCACCCTCAGCCTACCACATCATAACTTACGGTCATTTCCGGGAGCTTCTTGAAACTTTCGTATCAGCCTCTGACCTGCATGTATTCCTCACTTATGTTTAGGTTTCTTTATCTGAGTAGATTAAGGGCCAGCTGCAGAAACTCCAGCTCCTCCATGCACATCCCTTTTTATTTAGCTTAAAATGCAAAATATATTTTTTTCTCCCCAATGAAAAATGTCTGCACACAGAGAGAGGCACATAAAGATTTAAGTTTTAAGTTAATTTATTACTACCTTTTGTTCTGTTTTTTGGTCATTAATAGTTCTTATTGGGCATGCAAAAATATCTGAAGACTAATTTTCAGTGTTTTCGTTTTCTTGAATCAGAATTACAAAGATAATTTCTTAATCACAGGCATCTTGGCTCTTATTGTCATTAATTAACATTTCATTTTTGCATATTAACTACTGCACGTGTAAGATGAGATGAAGCATGCAGCTTTGAACTATATTAAAATGTGGAAAATTGCTAAATTGATGGATGTGTTTTTAATTCTCTAATGAGTAAGGAAATGACAACTCCTCATAGTAATAAAATTCTAATTTTATTATTCATGCTTGAATGGATGCAGGTTGCCAAGACATTTCTGGGTGTTTGTCCTCAATTAAAATGCATTACGTGTCTTTTGGTTCAGCTTGAGCTGTCCCACTTACAGAATCTGTTACTTTATGCAAATCATAGATCATAAATTGAGCAAAAAAATTAGAGTAGAAACTATGTTCATGTGACATAAATAGCTCTGATTAAACAATCCTGCACAGCCCCGGAGATTTTCTGTGTTTTGGCTACTCAGATGGATAACTCGTATAAACAATATTAATCTCTTGACAATTCAGTGTAACATTTGGTTTAATACCATGTTTCAACATAATTTTCAGTTAAGTTATTATAAAGATTTATCTGTAAATATCAGTGATTATATACCTCATTTACTTTCAAGATATGTATTTCAGGTGTGATTCTGAAATAGGATTACGTATTGTATGTTTTGAAGTAAAAAATTTTTGAAATGTTCAACATCAAAACCCGAATTATGGAGTGCTCATGGATATTTTGCTGAGCAAATAAAGTATTGTAATGTTAAACTAGAATCCTACATGTTCAAATTTAAAAAAATAAATCTTTTTTGAAGGCATTGTTTTAGAAAACAAAACATTTTTGTATGCCTCAAATGCAGGCTTCAGTGAAGGTTTATTTCATAGGAGCCATTTTAAGATGCTAACTGTTGATCTTTCTTCAGAGTGAAAAAACTGTGATGACAGCACTTAAATTACTATTTTCAGCAGGCTGTGTATTTTTTCAATTAAATAACTTTGGTGACAATGTAGACATTGACACTTATATTTTTGAGATGAGTAAAAACTGAATACAAGGACTGAATGCTTTATTTTACTAGCCAACCTAAGCTATTAACTTATTTTTGCTTTTCCCCCTTTCTGTAAAGAAAAACAGTGGTGTGAGCTTAATAAACAGCTGGATGAATCTATTTTTGAATTTCTAGCTAATAAAGCTAGAAGATGTCTCTCTCTAGACAGCTACACACTGATAGTGCCAAATGTGATTTCTGTCTTTTACAGACACTTCATTTAATTTCTCTTTCCCTCAAGTTCCCCCCCATCCCCCCTCCATTTGAGTGCCGAATTTAGGTTTTCTTCACCTTTCTCCTGTATCCAAACATGCTGTTGATGCTGATACCCTGGCTTCCTTCAAATAACTGGAGAAAATTCTTGGTTAATTAACTACTCACAACTTAACAAGCTATATGGGTGAAATGGCCCCTTCTAGTATGTAACTTTTCTTGTGCTTGTACTTCTTAATTTGAATTTCACAAACCACAGCTCACTATACTGTCAACATAGCATTCAGACCTCGACATGTTTATTTGTATATTTCCATGACTTTAACTGGTTGTTACCCCTTGACAATAAGAAACACCTCTAAAGCCGTTTGTCCCAGTACTTATGCTCATAAAATGTAGGGGATGGAACAAAAAAAGTAATATTGTATAACGGTAAAACATTTAGGCATAAAAATACCTATTGTTAAAAGAGAAAGCATACAGATATAACGGGCTAATTTGAACTCCTTTCCCAGTACTTTTGTAGCATACTGTAGTTAAACAACAGAAGCACACCTACATTCCAGCCATTGTTTGAAAGAATTGAGCTTCTACATTATCCTAAAGATAAATATGACATGCCTGGCTTATTTTCATTTGACCAGAACTGTTTTTTTTTGTGATGAACATAATATAACTTTAGATTTTGAGTGCTTTGAAAAATCAGTGTAGCTCTGACTAAAATTCAGATGTTGACATGTTACAACATTGCTCTGATTGCCCAAATTTTTGGTTCATAGCAAATGGTTAATGCTAAAAATTCCCAATTAAAGGGAAACATTCATTGGCCATAACGTTTGGACATTTAAAGACTTCTTTAGAACAATTGGTGAGATGTCTCTGCATGTCTGAGTTTTTTTTAGCTGGTGTCAAAGTAATCAGATTGGATTAATTTGTTTGAAATCAGTCAAAACAAAGTCATGAAGGCTTAATACTAAATATCTTTACTTCTGTTTCCTTATGTCTTTATTTTTTGTGCTTTCCAGTAAGGTCAAGACACCTTACCTCAACACCTTATCTTTTTGGTGTGTAATTCACAATAAATACTTTTAGGAATTTAAAATAACGTACTTGACAATAGCTGTCAATGCAAGGATTGAATCTCTGTGTTGTGTGAACTATTAGCATGGAGATCTAGATTTAATCTCTTCATTTGAATTTTGCCTGATTCTTGGGAGTCAGCATTGCTTTTAAAGAAGCAGTTTTTATCTTATTAGCTAAACACTAGCTTGTTGGAGTCATCAGAAACAGTAAGTATAGACAGCTATGATATGGACTATTTAGAGTGTGAAACCTTTTGATTAAGTTTCACGTAAAATATTAATTTTTAAATTACAGGTAAGCATCATGGTAATATATTTAGATTGGAAACCGCTTAATGGATAGAAAACAATGGGATCAAATAAGAAGTGAATGTTTGTTATTAGGACCACTGTTGCTCAAATCTATATAAATGATTTAGCTTATAAACTAGTCATATTTGCAGATGGTAATAAAATAATAAAATAGGAAGATTAGCAAACACTGTTGGAGCTGCAAAGGAAATGTAGAGTGAAAGAAGTCAATACTGGGCAATCACCTTACAGATGACATTTAATCTCGACACAGAGAATGTTACGCGCAGGTAGAAAAATACATAAAGTATAAATATAAGACAGGGGTAAATGCTGAGCATGAAAATGTCATGTCATAGCTTTCAATGACCCATATACATCTTTCAGAAACTGGGAAAGTTAGGATAGGAAATATATATATATAGTTAAGTTCAGGATCATAAAATACTGGGATGAATCAAGGGATAAGTTAAAAAATGTACAATGTAATACTACTTAATTTATAACACTTTGTTATCTATGGTTATCACATTGCAATACACATTATTTGAAATGTTTTTGCTCTAGAATCAGCCTTGAAAAGAGTGACCAGTGACTATTTCTGTGCTTAAATAAAGGTTAAAAACAGGCTAGAAGAGTATTTTTAGCCGTTGACAGAGACCATTCAAGTATTCAGTTGAAATAGTCAATCTAGTGAACTTTCTGAGAATAAGTAATGGGCCAAGAACAGGAGGATACAAGTGGAAACAAGGGGAAAGTGGATTTAAAACAGAACAGGAAATACGTTTTATATAGATTAACAGCCAAGCTAACAAGCCGTTTTATTGAACTGATACTCTGGTTTCTTTAAAGAAACGGCTGGATGAGATCTGTGGATCAATTTGCTACTAGCAAATGAACTAGATGGGCCAAATGACCCCCTCTTATTTAGAACCTTTCTTATGATCCACTATAATTTCAACCGACCATTTCAAAATATACTTTGAAGTATTTATTTTTATATTAGGGCATTTTAGTTTTTTTCTTGAAAGATGGAAAGGAATGATTTTCTTTGATTTGCAGCTGTTAAAGTACGGTTTAT